ACCTTACCCCTACCCCCCTCCCCCCCTCCCCCCCACCCCCCCCCGTTTTTTTTTTTTTTTTCCCCTGATAAAGTTGCTTCATTGAAAGGCATCAAGCAGATGCTGTGATTACAAAAATAGAGATGCTAGCTCCATTACAAGATGTTATGATAGGATCTGGGAGCTAGCTAATAACCAAAAAATATACCTTAAAGAGGCTAGTCTAGAGTGAGGGAGCTCAAAAAATCTAAAAAGACAGTAGAACTATTTACATAGGACTGTTTGGCCCAACAAAAAAGACTAAGCAAACATCTGGCCTTCAGCAAGTGGGTTGGAGGTGAGACTCCATCAAAACATCTGAGGTTTCTTTCAGTCCATACACTTGTTGAGCCTTGAAACTTGAAAGATATGCTTTCCATGAGAGATAGGATTTTTGAGTAGTAATTATAAATCTGATCTATCCACAATATCTGTGGACTTCCTGAGATGACTATGGTGATGGGTTCAGCTACAATTTTATTCTTTAACATTTTGATGATCAGCTTTTCCTTCCTAAAGTGTACTTGACAACCTTCTGATTGTAAAACAAGAAATTCCATATTTTCCAAAGGAGTTCCTTTACATTGTAACTCGAAGTGCTTACAATATGGTTTGTTTTGCAGCGCCTATCAACGTCAGTTACAATGGTCACAAAGGGTGTTCTCAAAGACCACCTAGTTCTATTGGCTAATAGCATGACTTGCGCAGGAAATCTGATTGGTTTTAATGCTGGTGGAATAAAAGCATTGTCTCGTTCATTAAACGTGCAGATACCATTTACGGAAGCAACGTTATTTGTAAGCCGCATTAGTTTTCTTCTGTTCTCAACAACTTTTTACATTGACTACTTTCCCTGTGAGCTATGTTTTTTAATGTGAAAGTCCTATTTTACTATCTTTCTTAGACCCCAAGAAAATGTTTTGAGAGGGCTGCTGAAAAGTGCCATGTTGATTCTTTGTCAAGCATTGTGGCTTCTTGCTCCTGGGGAAAACATGTGGCAGTTGGTACAGGATCTCCATTTGAAGTTCTCTGGAACACAAAAAATGTACGTCTTTTGCTGTAACATCTTTTAATATTTATTTGGTATAAGAATGCGTTATATTGGCTTTTGTTTTGATTGTGTCATGTGATTGGTTGATATATGCTCTTCAGATACAACCATTTCTCTATATTGTTATGTCTCGTTCTTTCATTAATTGGCCGAACGTAGTTATATTAAATTACAGATCATTGCATGCTCCGACGAATCTTTAGCTGTGTGACATCACTTTTCTCTAATTATTGCTGTATTATGTTTGCATCTTATATTTTGGAACACCTGTTTTCCAGTTCTACAGTAATAATTTTTCCTAGTTTGAATACAACATAACCTCTATTACTCCAGATACGAAGTCAAAAATTGAACCCACCATTGCCCCCTCCAACAGCAAGTAACTCAATTAACACGTTCAGTTCTTCTCTTGATAGTCATGCCGATCAACTAGCACAATTGTAATGGAGAGAGTATCTGGCTAGAGGTTGAAAGTTCAATGTTTTGGTGAACATGTATTCTCTTTTAGGATGATGAAATTTATGCTTTAATGTTTACAGTCGTCCACTATGATCTTTTTGAGATAAGTTCACAGTGCGAGAACCAAGAATGTAACCAAGGATGCAAGAAGTGTGTGGTTATTCTTTCCTCTAATGATTGACTTGTCTAAATGGGTTCATGCCACTGTAAAAACTAAAACTCCAGGAAGAATAATTACCTATGTACTATGTATCCCAAGTGTAACCTGTGCACCTTTATCCTAGTTTATATCCAATACATGTATGGTAACAAATATGTGGAGTAAAAATGGTCTATTAACTTATACTTTGTGCCAAAGAATTGCATTTGCTTTTCCTAGATGGCTTGATCTTATGTTTATATAATGTTAGAAGATTCAAATCACTGAACCATCTTTTCTATAATTATCTGTGACAAACTATGTAACCTTAAGGAAGAGAAGACATAAATAACCTTGAAACTTGTGCAAAAAATGCATGGAGCAGTAGATTAGCGGTGCAATATGATTTTCCCATTCCATGCAAAGGTGGTTTTATTAAGGTAAAAGAACATAAGATGGAAAGGTTGGACAACTATGGAAGCAACTTTTCCCAAGACTAGGAAATTTGAATGCAAATTTTCTTTTTCTTGTTGTAAATATAAAAAAATTGGGGACCTATGTGCCTCAAACAACCAGAGAGTTTTGACACTGTTATCTGATCTCTGTCCTTGGCTAAGTTCGATTTCTGTGGTAGCATGTTGCAGTAGACTGGAAGGTTGCTATTTCTTGTCACCTTGAAATGGAAGCAAACACATTTTGTCTTATACCAAAAGTAAAGTAGACACCTCATCGATCAATAAAAGTATAAATGACTCAATGTATTGCATGTATGCTAACTCATGCATAAGAAACTTATTTTCTCATGTCTGGACAATTCATGTAATAAGATATTTAATGAAACATGTGAGTGATCCTTTTATTTATCCCTCCCCAAGAGCTCCCCACTTTGCTCCCTTGGGGATTCGAACCCACAACCTTTGTGGTTGGAAGTGGAAGGTGCTTACCAATTGAGCAACCCTCTCTTGTGACATGTGGTGATCCTCAAAGAATTAGTTGACTGCTCTATACAGATTATGATGTATTATTTAAACAGTGAAATACTATGTAAAAAATTTAATTCAAATTTGGACAACTGTAAAATCAGCGCAACGCATTGAAATTTCTTGGTAGGCCAGGAGCCATTATGTTGAAATGGTGGTTTTAATTGTTGTATTCTCAGCAGCCATTAAATGCAAATTTGTGTTTCAAGCAGGTTGATTACATTTTACTTGGTTGAAAGTTCTGTAGTTGTCATAAATAGCTTTCTTGACCTGTACCATTAAGCTGAAATCTTAACCAGCTACAACTAGCATGTGTATTTTTATCCAACGCATCCAATTTTGGGCCTAGTTTAATGGTCTATGCACTTAAGTTCTTTTGTTTGATAAGCAGCTGAATATTTATTGTCGAAGTTGCACATTTTTTTGGTTTAAGGGCCTTGAGGCTAACATGTGAAAGTCTTTTTTGTGCAAGGTTGAATTGAATATACCGGATGCACATGATGTTTATAGCTTCCTGCACTTGGTGAGGAGCAGCTCTGCTCAAGAAGTAGAAGGTACCAGTTGTCTTGGTGCGGAAGTTGAAGAACTGGAGGTGGAAGACGACGATATGGGATTATACTTGTCTCCCGAGCGGGACTCTGGTTCAGATAAGCCCACTTTTGAAGATAGAGCTGAATTTGATAATGGTATAGAAAATGAAAACTTAGATGAAGGAAAGCTAAGTGGCTCTGCATGGGAGAAGGCATCATCTGAGAATGTCAAATCTGGTGGTAGCTGGGATATGGCTAAAACCCAAAATGGCGCTGAAAAGGCTGTCAATCAGTCAGATTCCTGGTCTTCTTGGGGCAGAAAGGTTGATGAAGCTGAGAATAATCCTCGTGAATCTGGGAACGGAGAGCAGCTAGAATCATGGTCTGCCTGGGGAGGAAAGGCTAAGGAAGTGGACAGTAATCCTCAGCAATCCGGGAATACAGCGCAGTCAGGGTCATGGTCAGCATGGGGGAAAAAGGTTGATGAAACTGGGAATAGCCCTCGCCAGTCCGGGAATGAGGAGCAGTCAGGATCTTTGTCCTCCTGGGGGAAAAAAGTGGAAAAAGATGGTGGTTCATGGGGTAAGCAATCCGGGAATACAGCGCAGTCAGGGTCATGGTCAGCATGGGGGAAAAAGGTTGATGAAGCTGGGAATAGCCCTCGCCAGTCCGGGAATGAGGAGCAGTCAGGATCTTTGTCCTCCTGGGGGAAAAAAGTGGAAAAAGATGGTGGTTCGTGGGGTAAAAAGGTTGAGGAAACGGAAAATCATAATCACCAATCTGGGAAAGATGAGAAGTCAGGATCTTTGTCCTCATGGGGGAAAAAGGTGGAGAAAGATGGCGATTCCTCTTGGGGGAAAAAGGTGGAAATTGATGGTGGTTCGTCTTGGGGGAAAAAGGTGGAAATTGATGGGGGTTCTTCTTGGGGGAAAAAGGTTGAGGAAGCAGAAAATCATAGCCACCGGTCTGGGAAGGAAGAGAAGTCAGAATCTTTGTCCTCATGGGGAAAAAAGGTGGAAAACAATGGTGTTTCTTCTTGGGGGAAAAAGGTGGAAAACGATGGTGTTTCTTCTTGGGGGAAAAAGGTGGAAAAAGATGGTGGTTCCTGGGGTAAAAAGGTTGAGCAAGCGGAAATTCATAGTCACCAATCTGGGAAGGAAGAGAAGTCAGAATCTTTGTCCTCGTGGGGGAAAAAGGTTGAAAAAGATGGTTCTTGGGGGAAAAAAGTGGAAAAAGATGGTGGTTCTTCTTGGGGAGGAAAGGTTGAAGCTGAGAATACCCCACGACCATCTGGGAAAGGAGAACAGTCAGGATCTTGGTCCTCATGGGGGAAACAGGTGAAAGAAGATGGTGGGGCTTCTTGGGGGAAAAAGGTGGAGAAAGATGGTGGGTCTTCTTGGGGGAAAAAGGTTGATGAACCCGAGGATAAGCCTCACCAGTCTGGGAATGGAGAGCAGTCAGGATCTTGGTCCTCGTGGGGTAAAAAGGTGGAAAAAGATGGTGGTTCATGGGGCGGACCTAAACAGTCAAATTCTGAGTCGTCTTGGGGAAAAACTACTAAAGGTGGTGGATTTGGTTCAGCGGCTGCTGAAGGCAATAGAAGGGTTGACCAGTTAGTTAATGGATGGAGCTCTAGTATAAGCGGAGATGAACAGTTAAATGAACCAACTAGTGATGACGCTACAAAAGTTGGTGGTTGGAATTCTTCAACAGTTGGTGGTTGGAATTCTCAGAAGGTTGGTGTTGAAGAGAGTGATAAGCAACCTCAGTGGGGTCAGCGCAGACGTAATCCAAGAGGAGATTTTAGGGATAATTCACGAGGTTGGGGCTCTTCTAGTGGTGGAGAGTGGAAGGGCAACCGGCCTGCAAGATCAGCTGATGACTCCAATAGAGGTGGGAATTTTACAGCAACAAGGCAAAGGATGGATATATTCACAGCAGAGGAACAAGACATACTTTCAAATGTTGATCCTATTATGCTGAATATCAGAAGAATAATGCATCAGACAGGGTAAGTTCTATATATCGCCGAATTCACTGTATACATTTGTGACAACTGTTACATGATGAAAATGTTAATTCCAGCAGAGAAATTGAGTCATTTCCGATTAATTTTTTTAAAAAAAAATTTATAACCGTAGTTGGGTAGCTGCTGCCACCCACCAGCACAGGCCGGGGATGACTCTATCCACCAAGGCTTGGATAGATGAGAAGAAATTTCGTAGTGTTTGCCACCACTAGAATTTGAACTTGAGACCTCATGGTTCTCGACCCACTTCATTGACCACTGGGCTACACCCTTGGGTGCCGTTCCCTCTTAATTCTTTCTGCAGAAAACTGGCAGCTATTGGAATTTACAATTTGTTTGTAGTCTACCATATCAAGTACTCTGCACCTACTGGTCTCAACATAAAAAAAACAACAAAAAAGGTTCCAAGCACCTATAGACAGGTCACAGATTGAAGAATTTGAACAATTTTTTTTGTCAATCTGCATATGTTTTCCCCATATTATATTTTGTTAGCAGTTTCCTTACTGTTAATGGAAAACAAGGGCTCACAACTACCCTCGGTAGGGTCAAGTTATGAGTTTACAGAAAAAGAAAAGGCTGATGGATGTTTTGGATAGAAAGAGAGAAAGGAAAAAGAGTATGGTGTCATTTTGAGTTTGGATTAGTTAAAGAGAGAAAGGAAAAACAGTATGGTGTCATTTTGAGTTTGGATTAGTTCTAGTGAGAGGAAGGATAAAGTCGTGGATAAGGTAAAAGTTAATTTCGTTTCCATTGAATAATGGGGCAAAGCAGATGGAAATCAGACATTTTCTGATGGAACTTTTGTTAATTCCGAAAAAGGCCTAGCATTACAAATAGAATAGGTACATATTCAGGATGTCACGAAAAATGACATCCATTATTTGCTCTGCTAGTCAATAATGAAAGGCTAATACTCTTCCCCTTCCTTTATTCTCACTTCTGCTTAAATGGTCTATTTTCCCCCTTATAACATTTTCTGGTTACATTTTCTTTGCGAAGGTACAATGATGGTGACCCATTATCTGCTGATGACCAGTCATACATCATTGACACTGTTCTCAATTACCATCCGGATAAAGCTGTCAAGATGGGAGCTGGTCTTGATTATATCACGGTAAGTGACTCTTTGCCACTTTTTTAAAACCTACAGTATTTAATGATGCTTTTAAGATATTTTCTTACTCTGGACCATATTCTACTCTAGACAGTTAGTGCCAAGGTTTTGAGCAACAGTATTTTTTTCTTCTTTACATTGTTCAAAGTGGGAGCCTTGGAGCAACGGTCTTACTCTGGACCATATTCTACTCTAGATTGTTATGTTAGGTCACGGGTTTGTGCCGTTGGAATTAGCCACTGATGCTTCCATCAGGGTAGGCTGCCTATATCACACCCCCTTGGGGTGCTTCCCTTACCCTGCGTGAATGCGGGATACTTTGTGCACCGGACTGCCCTTTTACTTGTTAAAGACAGTTCATTAATTTTACAGCAAAATGTGGGGTTAAAGATGTTAGGAAAGGCAAGAAAAGATGTACTGAAAGGACTATAGAGTTGATAATTAAATTGCTCCCATTGTAATCAAGCTTGTGTGAGCATCGGGGTATAATGTTGTTTTCTACAGCTTTCTTCAAGTTGTACATTAGTATTGATCCCTGTGGCGGTCAGCCCATCATATTCCAATTGATCCTATATTATCTAATTTTAAGAGGTGATAAACATTCGTGATATGATGGTATTATTTTCAGCCAAGTGGATAATGCTAAGTCATTATGTTGCCAATGTTTGCAGAATTTTGCTGCTTTCAGTGCTGGAAGTTGTAACAGTTGGTCTGAAGAGACTGAGAACCTTGTGTTAGTTTTGCAATTAGACTCAAGTTTTTTCTTGGTCACCATTAGACTTAAGTTTTTTCTTGGTGGCCGTTAGACTTAGCTTTCAGTTAGTCATTACTTACTGCTTGAGGAATTTTTGAAACTCTCTACTTGGTTGTCATTAGACTTGAGGTATTTTTGACCCTCTCCACTTTTCATGATTGGATAAGTTCTCCAATTCAGAGTAGAGACAACATAGAAGCATATACTTTGCTTCTTTCTTCTACTCCCCAGGTCGAACGCACCTGGGTCCTTCTTGCCTAGTGCTCCCCTGCCCTATATATGGCATTTGTTTCTAGGAGAGCAGTTTTTTCCATTATCCGACCAGTTAATTCAATGAAAGGAAATTACAGTGGAAGTGTTTAAATAACATTATCTTCTGCATCTATGCGAACTTTATTTTTATAAGCACCAATACAAATGGCTTTCATTTGTTCCCTTGCGACAACTTGAGAAGGAAGATAATGTCTTTATTTTGGTTTGAATGCGTTCTTAATAAATGAGGATGGGTGTTAGCTGTTACTATGTGACATAACTTACATTGTTGAGCTACTTGGTTTTCAGGAGCCATGAATTTTGTGTTAAATCTTGTTTCTTGCGTAATTTTAGTTGTGTTCTTATGTTACACGCGCCATATTTACTGTGAGCTGATGACTTTTAGGTTTCAGTTTAACTGGGCTAAGATTTAACCTGTGTAAACAGGTTAGCAAACATACCGAGTTCCAGGACAGTAGATGCTTCTACGTTGTTTCTACTGATGGTGCTAAGCAAGATTTCTCCACCCGGAAATGTCTGGAGAACTTCGTCAGGTCAAAGTATCCTGATAAGGCTGAGACTTTCAATGGCAAGTATTTCAAAAAGCCTCAACCTCGCAGCACTAGAAATGCATCTCCATCTCCATCAGTTGGTTGACCTTCTCTTGAGTTCAGATAGTTGTACAGTTAACTTAGTTGCTTTGTGTAATTGATGGTAAGACAATGAGCTAAAGGAAACGTGTATGTTGGCAAAGTTGGCAGTTAGAAATTTCTTGTGTATATAGCTTAGTCCCTAACTTATAGAATTTTCAGTAAAGTCCTTTTCAAGGCTGTTTGGTAGCTAAGAGCTGTTAGCCTATTAACCTTTGTAAACCACCAGCACACTAGCGTTGATGAATGATCGAAAGCTTTAGCTTTTTCTCTTTATTTCGTTATTCCATTCCAGTGTCTTCTTCCGCATTTTAGTCTCAATAGTTTTCTTCTTTTCCTTTCGTCTCAATTTTGGTATTTGCTGGAGCTAGTAACGAGAATTGTTACACCTTGTAGAAAATTGTGCTGGTAGAATGTGAAGACATGCAGATGAAATTTGTATGCTTCTTTCATCTGACTATAGAAGAGGCAACAACCTGATGTAAATCAAAAAGTTAAACTGTGTAGATTTTATTTTGTTTGAAAAAACCCCTTAGTGCAGAAATGTCTTTGAACATATTGTTGTATTGGAGATATGTCAATGCTAGAGCAGATATCGTCAATGTTTCTAATATATTGACTGTAAAAAAAGAGTTTCCAAATAAAGTTCACAAAGAAATAGTGGACGTCTTTTACGAGAAGCTGTCTGAGTAGTCCTGAAAGTCAGATTGGTTCAAAAAATAAGCGGACAGTCGCTGCCTGAGATCGATGCCAGGTCGCCCTCGTGACAAATGGGAATACTCATAACTATACTACGACAGCTATTTTGTTGAAACAGTTTTCGCTAATATGATACTACTACTCCTATTTAGTTTTTTTAAATAAAATTTAGTGGTTTGTTGACTTGCATTTGAGTTTGACGTCACACTTAACATTATGAAGTTGTGTTCGGTGTATGATCCTATTAGATATTGGGGAAATCTTTTTTACTGTAAATAATATGTGAATTTTACATAAAGTTTATCACTTTTTCATTGTTAATTACTCATGTATTTTTACTTTAATTTATCACTTAATTCTATAAACTAATATAATTTGATACATACATCACTTAATTCTAAATGCTAGTGAGTTTTTCTATGATATCAGAATAATTAATGTTACAAATCCAATTAAGACTAAACATTTAGTCAGTATACGCAAGGACTATTTTGTTTCTTTTCTCTTTTTACGAAAAAAAGAAAGAAAAACACCACTCTGCAAAAAAGTGCATTTATATAATATATTATGTTAAACGGGAAAAGCATGTGGACCGCCATGATAGCAGATATTTCTCCTACCTGGATATTATTTTTTTCCCTCAATAGGATATGAATATATTGTTTTTTTGAACTCAAGAGGATATGAATATTAATTCTAGACAAAGAAGAATACGAAGAAGAAGCTCTTCTGCATAAAAGAGAGAAGGTGGGGGAGCTATGAGTGGTTTGGCTTGTCCATGGCTTTGTGGAGCCTATCCCTATCCTTCTGGATTTTTCAAATTCCCATCTTCCAACACTACCACCTGCTCCTCTGTTCCTGCCTTTATCATTTATTGCAGTAATTCTCAATTTACACCTCAAGGCCCGGGCCCGGGGTCCTCGCAAACTGACCTCAAATTTGTTCTTCATGATGCTCTGGACGCGTTTGGTGTCAATACAACCCATGCCCGTATAGCAAGAGAAGGTTTCTGCTCTCAAATTCGAAAACTATCGGATATAGAGAGAGGAACAAGTATTTGCATAAACAGAGGGGTTGATTTAGGGCAAGCCGCTCTTCATATAGCGGCGGAAGATGATTCCCTCATTTCACACTCCTCTGTCCCACTCCCTGTCGCTGATTTCCTTGAGAGATTGGATCATCTTTCTATGGAATACTGCTCGCGTTATAGCTCTTCCTTTAAATCTTCTCCAGAACACTTCATTCGCTGTTTAGAAACGTACTTGTACGTTAATAAGGTACTTTTGGAGTATTTGATTTTATCATGTTTCCTCGCTATATCTGTTTGGAAATGAATGCTTACTCTATGATCATTTATATACTGCTTGAATGCCTTATATTGTATTTTGGATATGAAAAAGAAGCTTACATACTCCATGTACCTTAAAATAATTGGAACTTAAAGCGTTAATAATAGTTAATTTAGGGGATTTTAAGAACAGGAGAATGAGATGTGTTATTGCATCATTAAATGTTCAGTTCAAGTGGGAGATTAATAGATATTTTTTTAGCCTAAGGAGCATTCTTACCCATTAAAAAAGCATTCTTTTCGTAGGATGTATCCTTGTTAAATTCCTGACTGATGTGTGGTTCTCGTTCTTGGCTGATGTCATGCAATTGAAAGCTTTTTCCCAATCGCGTGGAAAGTTTCTAATTCAAAATTGTGCACCCTATTGCCATGAATGGCCATAATTACTGAGTTACGCTGAACGTGTTTTTTACAATAGTGATTTGAGAGCCGATACGTTGCTTGATATTTCTTTAAGAGAGGTGAGGGAGTAAGAAGTTAGTTGGAGTTCCAAGCAATTTTCAATTTAAATTGCTATCAATTGTGATCTTTGGCCTTGAGGCTTAGCTGGTTGACTTCGATACTTAGGTTCCCTTTTCACCCTTTCCCACTATTACATAAAGCTGGAAAGGTGGATCATTTGTGAAATACTTAAAAAAGATGGCTTTCCTAGGGAATTACCTTCTCTGCCTACCCTTTGCTTTCAGTCAGTGGGAAGGGAACATACCCCATTACTAGAAGACATACATAGCAGAGGGAAAGAATGGAATTATCATGAAGAATTGGAAAATTTTGATTTTTTTCATTTTACTTGAAAAAGGGCATGCAGATGAATCCTACAGGGATCAGATACACAACCTGTTCCACCATGCATCTAAATACAACTGCAAAATGGTTACACGCTGAAGAAGTTCCATTTTCATGACTGAGGCTGACAGGTATTATTGGATCTGATTGCAGCACAATATTTCATGAGAGGAACATGTATTTGATGGCATATTTAATTCTGTTAATGCGAAACCCCGTTCGTATTCAACTATAAATTGTATCTGCTTGTATGTTTTTCCTTAATTTGTGAGTAGGTGGTACTATTTGGTTGTTTTAAGTTTATGGCTGGTCTTATTTCCTTATATGATCGACATTATCTTCAAAAATCCTGACATGGTTCAATTCACAGGGTTTCCGGAGGACTGGTGAGAGGAATCAATCAGAGCCACGGGCTCTTTATCTTCACTCAGTGTGTCCCTTTCTCTATCTGTTTATCGTGGCTACAAACTATAGCCTTCATGTTAAACCAACATTTTTGCTTAACTTCAGGTTTTAACACATCGCTTCGGTTCTGCTTCACTACTTTCCCTTATATACTCAGAGATATTGAAGATGCTTCGCCTGTGGGGCCTTTTAAGTTTTGATATTGAGGTTTTTTTCCCTCATGATTCTTTTAGCTCTCCTCGAGGCTACTGCAAACAAAAAATGAAAGAGTCTGATCAATCACATGTCATGACTAAGCAGTCGTTGCTAGTGGAGGTAAATTTTGCTGTGAGAGTGATCGAATCTATTTCCATCTGATTTTCTGTCATTGACTTATCATATATTAAATGGGTGTTCTAATGTATTCTTTCGATAAGTGTTCTGCATTCCATTCTTATTAGATTCTTGGAAAGTATTTGATCAAGTAGGCTCTTGGAAAGTTATGGAGAAATATTTAGGAATGCTCCCTGAAATTATAGAGGACCATAAATAGCTCATTGTCTAAGAATGCTCCCTGACAACATCTAAGAGACCAGAACATTTAGAGTCTTCAAATTCTCCTTCCCGTTTTAGAAATGCCACCTCTTTACTCTTTAGTTCAATTCAAGTTGTCTTCGCTGACACTGTCTTTTGGTAATGTCTTTTAAGCTAAAGTCAGGTTCATTTCAAGTCCCAATAATTTGTAAACCTTTTATATGAAACAGGAGAGAAGTTACAAAGCTGTTTTTGGTTTTCTAATTTACTTCAGTCAACATTTCTTTAGAGATGGCTAATTGTTCCATATATAAATTCTACAACTTCACTATTTAGTTATTTGACCAGAGTGTGTAACTGATTGAAAGAGGTAAATATCACTTTCACTGTATCATACCCTTATTAGCTGGGTGTTTTTTGGTTGCTTGGCTTTTATGCTGTTGGCACCTTTTGTGTCAAGGCTGGGGCCCATTTGGGACAGTACTGATCTAATTTGCTTATGAAAGAGGTATACTGCAACTGCACTGATTTGTTCCATTTCCAGAATCTGAGAGGATATTCTGAAGAGAAACCTGCTAAAGCTAATTTTGAACGATACAACTAATCCTCATTATTAAATTGTGCCTTCATTACATTTGCATTTTCTTGCTGTCGTATCTTGAAAAGCTCTCCATCTGACTGTCAATTGAATTAACTAGAAGTCTGATGTGCTTTTTTGCGAAATTCTGCTTATAGTTGCTCCATGTCTGTATATAGATGCTGAAAGATTTGAAGGATGCTTTCTGGCCATTTCAGCTCGATCATACTAAGAGTCCTTTCCTGAGAGCAGCACGAGCTGCCAACTGTTCTGAAAGTGCCAATGATTCTGAAGAAAGGTCTTTAAGCAGTTGCACAATCCATCCTTAAATTCACTTTCACAAGATAATACTACATTTGTTTACCCATCCTTTTTATATCATCTGCATGCAGTGCATTCGAGCTTGCATCTGTCAAGGCTTCTCTGCATAGGCTACAGCGTGGTGTTTGGACCAGTGTTCGATTTGGGGACATGAGACGTGCACTCTCTGGTATGTGCGTTTAATCGTTTCCCTCTTTCCCATGAAAAAAGTATTGTTATACTTTTATGAATTGTCGTTGGTTCCATTAAGCCATAATCATTATATATCTCAATTTTGATAAGTAATTATTGTACACTTCATGACATTCCAATAAACCCGGCTGTTCATTTTATGTCTGAAAAGTTCAATAGCAGTGATTGTTTGGACAGAAATGAAGGGTCAGAATTTTGTAAGAACATGTTTCTTGGTAAATAAGGCAGCTTAGGATGCTCTGTCAAAAGTTACTGATGGAATATCAGTTTTTTGTTATAATGTTGGTTTCTAGTTGAAGAGAAATAATTGGATACAGTAGTTAGGAGTAGGTTCAAATTTACTTAATGTGCCATATTTGGCTGCACAATATCAAGAGAAGGGTAGGATTATATTGATTACACCTAAACCCCCCCCCCCCCCCCCCCCCGTTTTTTTTTTTTTCCTTAT